GGATGCATATATGGCTGTAGTCCACGAAAGCTTATGCTCTAATAAATTTGTTAGTCTCTAAGGTGCCACAAGTCCTCCTGTTCTTCTTTTTGCGGATACAGACTAACACAGCTGCTACTCTGAGATGTATTTGACTTTCTCTTGTGCCTGACCTCAAAATGTACATGAATTCCAGAACAAAGTAGTTATCCTGTTTTCAAAAGTGAATGGAAATGAAAGAAGGTGCCAGTGATAAATAGGTGCAGTCAAAATATGCTGATTTTATTGTGAGTATCTTGTACCATTTTCACAGCATATAGCGTAAAATGAAGTAACATTTAAGTCTACTTATTGGAACAACACTGACTATTTGGCTCTTTTACATGCCAGTCTTAGGTATTCAAACACCATCTTCTTTTCAAAGTTAATGCACTATACTATAATTGGCCTAAATCTTTTGGAGTCAGTGGAGCTCAGCTGATTCATATCAGCTGAGGATCTAGTCCTAAATGACTAGATTAACTGTTTAGGGCTAGATTCTCACCTTTACTCATGCTGAGTAGTACCTTGCTCTGTGAGTAGTCTCACTGGATTTCAAGAGTATTGGGAAGGATTGACAAATTCAGTGGGTATATAACAGAATCTGGCCCTCGATGAGGAGTTTAACATTTAATATACTGAATTTTGTTTCTGCAATGTGGGTCCAATTCTTGGTCCTGATGCTGTGCCCTCAGCTCCAACAGCACAAAGGGCACTTAAAAACACCTGAAACAGGCAGCTGTGGATTCCCCTCAGATTAGAAGGATGTTAGTGGGAGGGGAGGGACAGTGCCAGCAGGCCACTCCCACTGGTGCAGATTAAAGAAGCTGTTCAACTGCAATAATTTGGGACTGTTTTGGATCTCAGAAACCAGGACAAGATAAATGGCAAACTGACCCATCAGCTGCACCAAGCTTAGGATCTGCATGGGTGTGTGCTACTGTCCCAGTTTCCATTAAATCCCTACTCCTTTGCTAAGGAAAAAAAAGAGTGGATTCAAACACCGAGTACAGTGTTTTAGTGCATTTTATGCAAAAATATTTATACTATCAAGTATCTGGGTTGTGAAGGCAGAGCAAATCTTAGAACCCATAGAAGAAGCAGTTCCATTTTCAGAACTCCAGCAAAAGCAACCATGTTTGAACCGTTTTAGTCAACCATCAGCACTCTCTCTTGCTCCATCTTCTCCTGGTGCCCTGAAGCCACTGTTCAAGTAACTCCTCAGTATATGTTCTTTAGTTTCATGCCCAAGCACAGTAAAGATCATTTGTGTTAAAGCTGTCATTCAGTCACCACTCTCTTCACGTGGCTGGGGGCAACCCAAAATCAATTGCATCAAGGAGTCAATGTGTTTGACTAAGCAAAAACACCTATCCATTCTCACTTATATGATGGAAAGGAACACTCTCGCTGTGACATGATAAAGGCTATTCAAGTACTGCTTTCCAAAGCACCTTTAGCTATAATCAGCTGGATTTAGCTACAGAACTGTAGCAGTTGACCCATGCTAGCCCCATTTCAGCTGTCTCATTTCTACAGAGTTATTTGTTTTATTTCTTTACTACTTTTGGCCCAATCGTACATTTATGAAGTAATATTTTAAAGTTACTTTCTTTCATAATTAAAGTTCCTAAGCATATTTAGTATGATCTGATATCAGATTTAAGTGTTTTGCAATGGATCTACTGTAAAACTGTTTTCTGGACAGAGGATTTAATGGTGATGGATTAGTAAATTGATGTAAAAAAGCATAAATTAAATTGAAACAAAGTAAGCAGAAATAAAAGGAAAATATCAGAGATATCACAAACATATCACAACCTTAGTAGACTGAAACAAAATATTTTTTTGTTTTTCAAAGATCGTTTAGACCTCTAACCTTGATCATCAGAAGAAAAATAATCCTCCTACAATCAAACCATTTTATTTTCACAATGTCTTCTCACGTGCATGCTATGATGTTACCGGCTTGCTCAGAAGAATGCTAAGATATCAGCTGGTACCAATTTAATAAAAGGGAATTGCTATTAAGGGCACCTCGCAGAAAACACAACATAATAAGCCAACAGTCATAAAATATTTATTCTACAATGAATTCACTTTACCTTGAAAGGCACTGGCTCTTCAGTAAGTGGGCTAACGGGAAGTGAAGCGGTACTACTGGCAGGACTCATATCTGCACTCTGTAAGAAAAAAAAACAGATTAGTATTAACACTTTTCAGTTTGGGACATGAACAGACTGTGTTTTGCAGTTTAGCTACTTGATGCTGCTTCAATTTTTCATCTAGAGAAGTAAAAGAAGAAACACCTCATATGTTAAATCTAACCATTACTAGCAAGCTATACTATATTCTCTAAAATGAGATAAGAATTTAAATACTTCACTTATGGATAAATTAAACCCCCGTGCACACATTTTGACTTAATGCCCAATACAATGAATAAGCTATTAAGATATGCACACAGATATATATGCATTTAGAGAAGAATATCAGGGAACTATTTGGATCAAATGCCCTGGCTGCATATAGAACAAACCAAGGTGGATAATCTGGTTTGAATTATTTTTTTCTTAATTGCCAAGTCATCAAAATTAAAGACAAACTATATGAAGAATGTCAAGAAGGTTGTTATAAAGCACAGGAGTAACTAATACTATTCTGTAGCTGGTATGAACCTGTGTAGCTCCATTGATCTAGCTTATACTTTCTAGGTGAACAATACTATACAGACATACCATAATCAATCTAAACTGACACAATGTCACTAATAGCAATAAAAACTCCTTGAGCAAAACCAAAAGACTTTCTGCTCACTCCCCCTCTAGAAGCTTAAGTAAATAAATACAATCGACTTTGCAAGATACCCTGAAAGTCACCAGAAACTAGCTCTTTCAGACCAGGCAAATTCAAATTGAGGGCCTTCTAATGAGTTTCCCCTGGCCCAAAACATACAAATATGAGGACTGCCAACCTGTGCGCTCCAAAATTACCTTAACTGCTGAAGGCACTATGTCTTCAATATAAATAAAGCCCATACCATCAAGAACTTTACAACTCAACCCACCATTCTAATTTGCAGCTGGAAATGAACTGAAAGCCAGTGGAGCCTTTATAGAGCAGGCATAGTGTGGGCTGCAGGAGAAACTTGAAAAAGCAGACTGATAGCTGCATTCTGCATGAGCTGCAGTTTCTGGGTAGTCTTCGAGTATAGTCTAATGTAGGGTCAAAAATAAATATATCCGAATGCCGGAGCTGCCTTGTCATGAACTTTTCCAATCATCTCAATAATTTTACACAGTTAGGAACTTTGGCCAATATCTCTACTAATGTAAATTAAGTTTAATGGTGATATGGCAGTTCACAGCAACAGAGAATCAAGTAAGATAGTAAGTAACAAATGGCAGTTTCTTGAGCAATTACGGGGGATGAGGGGAGAGGAGGACATTGTTTTGAACGAGACCATCAACTTGCCTTCCTGAAGGGAAGCATATACAACCTAAAATGCCCAAACACCCCTTTCTTCCTTTGTGGCTGATAAATGTATATTTGTCAGAATCACTTACTGCAGCTTGAAGCTCTCAGTGCATATCAAGAACTTCTGTGAGAAATTATACCAGAGAAGACTTCATATTTGACATCTCCTGACCCACTTCTGTTTTCACAGAAACAGCCAACTGGCCTGAAACTAAATCAATGTATCTGTGAATTACCTAGACAACACTACACAATTGGGTTCCCTTTCTAGCTCTTATCACAAACTTCTGACGTTATTTGAGCAAGACTGTTTTGTTTGTGAATTATGATAAGCATTGTTTACTGTTAGTCAAGGTTGCTTTCACCAAGAAAGAATTAGGAAACACAAAGTTAAGGATTAAAAAGATTGTGAAGTTGAGCTCTCAATGTAGAAAATGCCTAAATGAAGGTGCCTATGCAACTTAATTTGGCCCGCTTATGTGTATGCCATTAGTTACATGACATCATTTCCCCTCCCTCCCCCAACAGGAACCCTCATTCATTCAGTGCATGGGACAGATGTGCTCTGGTGATGAATTGGAGTTGAGTACCGAAGGAGTCTGTCTGTAGGACTCCTGACTTATCTGTTGAAGAAGTTGGAAGGTGTGCAGTGAACGAGTGAATTGCAGGAAGAGTTAACACCAATTTCCCACATGATGCTGAGCAAGTCACTTACACCAAACATGTCACAGATAGTCTCTTCTACACATAACTGAAGTCTGTATCATAATGTATACAGGTAATGCAGCTGAATTTAGGTTGTATGAGCAACATTCATTCTGCCATTTCCTAACTTCAGAGCACTTGACATTGCAAGCTTTGAGTCATCTTCATGTGTCTATTTTTGTTAATGTTTTAACTGATTGATGAGAGCAACCTCTACTAATGTTTAATAAAGTTGTTTGTGAATTTCTTAATTTAATACAAAAAATTGTTTGTGTGTGCGCTATTTTAATAATAAAGCACTTACACATTTGTTCGTCTTCAATGTATTTTGGATTATCATGGTCTTGGGATTTCATCGCAGTGTCATGTTGACCAATATATTGCAAGTAATTAAACTCACACAAAGCTTTAAATGCAACTTCAGTTTTCCTACATCTCCTAAGTTATTAATAATTACTACTACTAGTACAGTAAAAGAAAACTGAGCAGGGACTCATTGTGTCACTTCTTGGGGGTACGCAGGATTGTGAGGCACCTGACCACCACCCGCCTTAAGTATAAGTAAGTCTTGTCTGTGTCCGCTAGGTGTGACCTCCCTGACTACACCAGCTTCAGGCAACACAAGCTTCTTAGCATATGCAGGCTCTGTTATCCATCATCTGCAGGATACTAGAGGCATACTCCAACCCCCAAAGCCCTTTTGAATATCCCCATGGAGTGTTCAGTCCCTGGTACGCTGGACACAGAGAATTCATCTATCCATTTCCCCCTAAGGAACAGTACCCCCCCCGGCTTACTAGTTCCATCTTAGATGATCTCTCTGTTTAACCCACAGCACTTGCATATGTTTATAGTGAAAGCAAGTTAAAGTTTATTTAGCCAACTATAGAGATTTGAAAAGTAGCAAGTTCAATTATGGAAAATAAATGATTACATGTAAAACCAAATCTTAATACACATTCTAGAGCTTAGACTCAATTAACAAGACACTATCCTACCTAATTAAGTTTAGATCACCAAAGTATTTGTAGTGTTTTCCAACCTGCCTTGCTGTGACCCTGCTTTCATAAAACAAGACACGCTAGCAGTTTGTCTCCTCGGTGAAAGATTCAGGATCTACCTCAGTAACCCCAGATATACCCCCCCATTGTCTTTACTCAAGTAGACACCACCATCCCTGGTATTTTGGTTTTGTTCCTGCAGTTTTTCCTCTCTCTTTCATGTGATTCTGCAATCTTTTCATTAGCACCAGGCTCAGTAATGCAAATAGATCTCCATTGTGAAGTGTACAATACACAAAATACACATGACTATACAGAGAAAGATAAGTATCTTTCCCTTTGTACCTGACAGGAGCATGTTTACTACCTTCTGGTGACCTGCTTTAAACTCACACACCTTAGAGAAAATAGTTTTCAGTGCAGATACATAATTCTTTAAACATTAGCCGTACATACATTTTGCAATGACTGGTGGACCAGTGGGCTATTGGCTCCTGGTAGAGACCTCACATGCCACCCTGAATTCATAAAATAGAATACCAAATAATTAAGGGTTAATTTGAATAAGCTGGGCTTCTGGAGACAGGGTCCTATGTTAGCAGCAGGCTTGCAGTTTTTGCTCATCAGAATGGGAGGGAAGGAAAGAGTCAACACATCGAGACTGAAGGAAGTAAGTGGATGAAAACCTTGAATTTGGGTACCTTTGATACAGAAGTGCATTGCAACTAAGATGGTTAGGAATGCTTGTTGATAAGTGATGACACAGTAGGGGTTACTGTGATTTGAGTGTTTTGTAAAAGTTAGTTTTAAAAAAAAGACTTGAAGTTTGACCTATGTCTCAGGGATGTAGCCTTTGCCATCCCCATGGAAATCCACCCAAATTTAACCAAGTGATAAGTCTTTGAAAAGTCACATTTGCATATGCTCGGTATAGACTTAGAATGTAGCAGCTAACATTTCCTAAGATTCCATTTTCACTTAGCATGTTCAAGCCCTTCACATATCCTAGTGTTGAACAGACTGGATATGGACAATCTCACGGTATAAATGAGCACTCTCACTCCAGCACAGGCCTAACGAGGTGAAGCCAAACTTTCCCTCTAAAGGCTACTTCCAGGTGCTCAGTGCTGACATGAGCCTGGGCCCCAGACCATAGAACAGGGAGCCCATCTCTCCATGATCCTCCTGCCTACACCCACACATTGTGGATAGAGGAAGCTGCCTGATTTGAAGGTTGATGGTTTCATAATGCATATGAACAGGAAAGTCAAATTAATGTTCACAGGCAACCTTAATTTTGGCATTTCCTAATTGTTGTGTTTGACGTTGCTTATAACATAGGGTGTTGTTTTTTTTGGTCTATATACAAATAAAAATTCTACCAAAATACTTTGTCAAGAGCTCTTCCTCTTAACAAAGGATACATGCCATATATTGCTTTTGTACGTGTTGTCATGTATCTTAAGATACACAACTCCTGGCAGCACATTGCATTTGCTGCATAAGTATGCAGCAGTTTCCAAAGCCTGTATAAACTCCAGTAAGGTCTCTTTTGATTGTGTGTGTCATGTAGCGTTGAAATTCAAAAGTATACGTTGCCTCAAACTACTCTCTAATCAGATCAAAGTGATATCCCTATTAGGTTTGTTGTCATCCTCCCAGTCCTCCATGTTTTTCCTACACAATTCTGCTATTTACAATAGTTCAAACTATTTCCTCCAACATTCTGACAGTCAAAATATTTCAGCTTGGAGTAATGCAGAGCCTTGGTATGTGGCAAAATAAATCAGAGAGGGAAAAAAAGTCTTGATAAGGCACATTCAATTCTGATAATATATGTTCAATGGTTTAAAAGTAATTTACCAGACCAGCAATATATAGGGGCATATTGTAAAGGCTGCATTTCTTTAAAACATTAGTCATTTTCCAACCTTGGTTAGACTGTGTCAACACCTGTTCTATAAATGAAAACAGATTTACCTGACTTCATAAACTGGGAT